ACAAATCGTACATCTGTCTGAGATAAAGCAAAAGATTGCACAACATTTAGAAGTTTTGTAAAGGCTTTTTTTGCATTCCGTTCAAATTCTTTCCTCCTCACTGGTAGTGTTTCAAACAAACTGTTAATTGATACCGTAGTACCGACCTAGAAAAAATGCAGAAATTTTAGAATCTTTCTTTTTTTGCATTAAAAAAGCTAAATTTACAAAAAATAGGTGAAATCGAAATGGTTTTACGTTTCTTCTGCAAAAGGAAAAAAGACTAATTTTCACAATAAATAGCCAGTTTGTGTAGAAAATATTCAAACCTACAGGTCTTGCACATTTTTCACGTGATTTTATACATCCGTCGTGATCAAATTGTAATTTTGTAGCCATTATTTCATCTGCATGTCTCGTTGTGATAGATAGAGAACTAAAATGGAAAATTTATTTTTGAATGAAACAGATGAAAACTTGAAGCTCTCCCAGATCACTTAAAACTGAACAAGAAGTTACTAACTAACTTTCCAAAGCGAACAGATCAGTTAATAAAAATTGAAGCAAATCAGCAAAAATTTGGACAAAACAACCTTGAATATTAACGAAACAAAAAAAAGAAGTCTAACAGAAGTCCAGATATAATAAGTTCTCAACAACGCTTATAATTCAGTTACTTTGCTTTAATAAAGACAACGAATAATTAACCTTACGGCGCACAATGAACTTAAAGCTTCACCACGGAATCCAAATGTTGTTAATTGATTAAAGTCTGAGAAATTAGTAAGCTTCGATGTAGAATGTGGTTTACCTTAAAAAATATGAAATAAAGAATAAGATTAACATATACGATGCAAAGTTTGAGTTAACTCTCAAAATTTGGGAGCCAAAAGCAAACATGAATCTTCTTCAATGAATAAATGGCACAAAGTAAATTGCCATATTCTAACTTAATGATAACGCGGCGACTTATTTAGCTAGCATTTATCAGAAAATGATTTTTCACACTATATAACATTTTTGTTATATAGTATGAGAACTGTAATTTTAAATTAAAAAATTACACAAAGCGTCGAAATCGATAGAATGAATACCGGAACCGTCATCAATCACTTCTACTTTTTCAAATCCCATCTTTTTGAGTCGTACCTCTGCAGTGTATCAACAATTACTTTGCATGACTTACAGGAACTTTTGTTTGTTATTAGACTTTTGGTATTTACGATTATTGAAATTGAATGTTCCAATTGTCACTGTCACTATATAATGAAATATTAAAATGCAATATTAATTTACCACTCAAACTATATCATCGATACCAAGCTTCAGTTAACATATGGCGACAACTAGTTACATATTTTATTAAAACTGTAGCTAATAACTTTGCTTCAATGTTAATCAAAAATTAAAACTTTAAGAATAAATAATGCTCCAAGAGATAATACGAAGATATCGTTATGATACTGACACATTTAAAACCGTAATAATTTTTCAAAAACTTCATTATAACATTCATAAACAAACCAATAGTCTTTGCTCCAGCATCCAAAGAATTGTCGATTAGTTCTTTACACGCACCTCCCAACGTGATAATAACTTGACCCGTACAAATCTTTCGACAAACATCAGCTGGGATACTGTGAATTCTCGTACGGAGTACTTGCTGATCGGCATTTTCCATCAGTCCAGAACTGCATGAACCGGAGAAGCGAGTAATTTCAAGTTCGTTCACAAATTTTAATCTTGACAAAGACGTTTAGAAATTTTCTAGTAATAAGCATTGTGCAACACAAGCAGATACATTTCATTTAATATAATACGCGGGTAAATCATTGAAGAAATATTTCAGTTTTATTTGCTTTAATATTACATTTTTTTAAACATACATCGTAAGGTACCGTAGAAAAATAGACAAAGTAATATACAATATCATGTAGGTAAAAATCCAGGAAAACCAAATATACACAAAATCACTGACGTACTTCCCAATTTTCATGCATTATTTATGAAAAATTAAACATTTTTCAACATAAACATTATTCAAACACTAACCACCTAATCAAACATACAATTCATATAGCACACAACTTCAACGCTCTTCCAAAAAGGTCGTATATGACTTAAATGATAAATAATGATGTCAGCGTTAACACTAGCGGATACATATCAAATGATTAAAAACTAGATTTACTCCTAGGAGCACATCATCAAATTATTCTAAAAAGAACAATCCTTGTTACATCTTCTCATAGGTCAATTTATAGTCACATATTTTGCATATTTTCCAATATTCATCCTTCACCGAATCATATGCTTCATCACCGTAGACATGATCGTGAGCTTTGCCATAATCAAATTTAAAAATTTTTGACCCATGTACCTGGAAATTATTAGATGCATTCAATGAGTTCATAGTTTGAACTCAATCAAAAAAAGAAGTGATTCCAGACAGGAATATGTAGCATAATGTATTTTTCAAGTGTTAAATTACTTATCAGAAATTCAGCTGTATTAAATCTCCCAATTCAAACTTATCCAAATATTATCTTGAAAAAAAAAAGTTGTATTAAATCTAACTTGCTGCCTCATTTCTTTAATTTTCTTCTCGAAGCGCTTTTCCAGTCGTGTTTCCTTTTGTGTGATACGTGCTTCTCTCGCTTTTTTAAATTCCTCCTTTGATCCATACACTTCCAAGCAACGCTGCTCCAACTAAAAATGTTTACGAAATCGCTAATAAACGACAATTATACTCATAGTACTTCAAATTATTAGAAATATTTTTTGTAAAAAAAAAAGAAAGGAGAAACTACTGAACTAGCAAAGGGTACTCTTTAATCATTAATACGTGTAAAAAACTTATACGAACCACTGAAATAAATTGCAAAGAATGCAAAAAAGTTTAACAATCCATACCAATTTTGACAAATGGTTCAAACTGCTTAATAATTTGTCATACTTAATTACTTATTCTCTAAGCTAATAATGATATGGAGTAAAAGAAAAACAAAAAATGGGGATTAAAATGTTAATTTTAAGCTAATTGGTCATAATTAAAAGGACAATATGGCATCAAGTTCACTTAGCATCTGTATTTGTAAATTTACGAGCAGACTAGTCTTTTATTTGTCAGTATCAACTTCCAGTTTTAGTTATCTCTTAATGGTTATATCGGTTACTAAAAAAATATTATTTTATGTCAATTTAGATCTTAAAATATTTTACACTAAATTGTTAACAAAGGATCGACATGACATTGTTAAGAGATCTTAGATCAAAAAAACTATTTTAAATTAACCTGTGCTTTAAGATATAGCTTCATATCGCCATAACGAGGATTATGCGGATTCTTTTTCGAAATAAACCTCAAAATTGGTTTACGTAAATCGAGATCACAATCTTTTAACAAATACTGATTTTTGGCCTCCGTTCGCGAAATCAACTTGTGATCACCTTTATCACTTCTGAAAATTTCCAAATATAAATCAGTTTACTGCAAAAAAACATGAAAATAACGAAGATAACTAGGGCATCCACAGTAATATCCACATGTTAGTGATATGCAACAAAACTACCAAGCGCAAATATGTTAGATTTTCTGTTTCGAACAATTACGTCTAGTATCTTCTTGAAGTCCATGTCAATATCATTATTTCTTTCTTGTGGACACCAGTCACTAATATAAAATACCATCATCTTTCGGTAGAGATGTTTCTCATTCAAAGACTGCAGTTTCCGTTTATAAAACTTTAAAAATTCACAATCATGAAAAATAACAGACACATGGCATTAAAAGAATTGAAAACTGTCGTTTACACTGATCCATAAAAGAGGCAATTGTTCAAACCTGCATGTGTTACAAACAGGATAATTGAATTTTTCCCACAAATAAGAATTACACAATGGATTTTTACAATCCATACAATTATCCGGTGGTATCATAGAACTTGAATTAGTCGCTGCTTCATCTGCCCCTGTAATTACAAATAAATTTCCATGCTATCCAACAATAAGATATAATATTTTTTTGACTTTTTCTTCCACTCTTTCCCACATACTTACGACTCCGGAAATGGCTTAAATTGTACGTTTTTGACGTGCTTTCGCTATATGTTCCCGTACACTGGCGTATTCGTCGTCATCATCCATAAACCCACCAGCTTCTTCATAATTTTCCTGTGTTTTCCTGCAAATGTTCATTAAAAAACTATATCTCGTTGTTCATCTTGAAAATACAGTCATTTTAAATCATGTAGAAACCGAACCACATAATAATTATTACTTTTATCAACTCCAATAATTTTTTCAATTTCCTTTCGACGAAGTCAATGTTTTTCTATTTTCCGAAAATTATGGGGAACTTCATTTTATTTGATTTAAACATAACTGGTGCAAATTCTAAAATTATAGAAACTTATGAAATAATCCAATCATTTCCTTACTGAATTTTCCTCCAACGAGAATTATATTTTATAGCTCATTCGGCGATTGCGTACATTCAAAACATTTATGGTATATTTTTTGTAGTTGTCAAGTACAAAATCGTCTGATATCTTAACTATGGGCAGATGTGCTCAGTTTAAACGATTACACTAAACTTTAAACAATAAAATCGGTAACAAACCAACTCAAAAATGGGAAAAAGATCTGAATTAAATTATTTTGACATTTGTTTTCATCCTTTTCTTTTCAAAATTAATTTAAATTCAATTATTTTCTGCACTTAATTCTGCATTCAAAATATTAAATTCAATTCTATATATACAAAGCTTTCATGCATTTGGAACGCAACTACCGTCACTATTTACATATCTGCCTATTTACTTTTGCAGCTTCCTTTTTGAACTGAGTAAAGGTTCGTCTCAAATTCTAATTTTACAAAATATTACAATGTAGTTACCAAAATTTATTTAAACAATACCTATAAAGCTTTTCCACATATGGAATATAGCCATCACCATCATTTACATGGCCATCCAGTCGTTGACGTTTCATTTCCTAAAATAACAATAATATTTCCAATCTTAAATCTTTTCCATACCAAATTTTTTTGCACTCGTTTTTTTTTCACGGTCTATGACAAACCAAGTTTGGTCTCGAAATTCAGAGCAAGATGGCTAAACAGATAAATTAGGAAATAACTGTCTAAAAATGATCAAGCATTACTAATGATATATAGCAAATATGAATGATGAATAAATATCTAAAGAAGATTCCAAATTAAATAATTGAGTTACTACTTTAACGGCGAACGCAATAAATACAAGATTTAAAATAAAATTAAATAGATAAATAAAGAATAGAACTAATGAATGTGGATGCGTGGGTGGTTGGATGGATATCTGAGTGGGCGTTATGTGGATTTTTTGATTTAAGTGAATGTAAACGCACTTTATTACATTTCTAGAACATCTGATAAGCTTGCTTTTGCGATAGCATAGTGTAAATCAAGAACCCCGAGAGATCGCGCTCATCCTGAGAGTTCGCACATTTACCAGAAGCCATGTGAAAAGGAAGAAATTTCTCCCGCTAAACGTTCAAAATGCTACGTATTGCCCGTTGATATTTGATGGACGGCCGCTATTTGCTTTAATTTTCTTCTGAGAGAGGTTTAGTTCGGGTAATTGATAGTGCGGGGGAAGAGTGGGAGTGAGTATGTAGTGTGGTACTTCCCGAACTTTCGGTTATTGATTGTCCATGTTGACTGTTTACTGATTATTGATTGTCCATATTAAAGCTTGCTGGTCAAAGATTATCTCTTTTCTCATTTCACAAAGAATAGCAGTTCTTGTATGTATGTTTAAGAAGAAAAAATAAATGGTCAAAAAAGAAAAGAGAACGCAATAGCAGCAAGAAAGGAGAAAATTTTCGTAAGAAAAAAAAAACAAACTGAATTCATTAAAGTTTGCAAAATTATTGATTATTATTCTTGGAATCATTTATATATACATATTTTATATTTTCAATAATCATTTTACCAGTGATAAAATTAACTTTTAATTTTTCCTTTTTAGAGATATTTTTGCTTAAAGAACGAGAAGAAGGATGTCATCACGATTTGGTCCACGAGCTGCGGGTACCGATGGAACAGATTTCAAGCATCGACAACGAATTGCGGCACATTATCATTACAGGTATTATATATGGAAATATTATTATCATTTTTACACTGTCCTATATAATTCAAAAAAGAAGTATGGAAGATGAGGTCATGGATTTATTTTCTAAAGGTTATGGCTAAATGTGTTATGAAATTTTAATGGAAATTGCTGGAGGTTTTGTTTCAAAAACATAGGTCCGGCATCTTTTTCACGAGATATACTAGTTTAGCAGTTTAGCGTCTATAATAATTGTTAACTTTTGCATATAGCAATAGTGAATAAATAGTTATTAACTGTTATTGTTTTTTATTTACTATTGTGGGTTTTTTTTTTCTGTTAGTAATGTGGAGTTCATTATGACTTGAAGTTAGGAAATCTATTTTGGAAGAAGTGGAAACTACAATAAATATAAAGAGGACTAAATAACTCCTTGTGAAATGAAAATGGGTTGGAATTAAGGTAGTTGGAGAAACATATTTTTCAGTTTTTGATCTGCAGTAAAAATTGACTTTTCAACAAAGTATAAAGCATTTTATTGCAGTGCGCAATATAAGATATACTTGAAAGTGTTGTTTGGTCTTCATTTCCTAGTGCTGCTGACAATGTGGGTTAAAGTTGGCGGTGAAGTACTTGTTGAAGACATTGGCATACGATGGCCATTTTATCAGACTCTTCAACTACCAAATGCATACCCGTGGGAATATGTTTGGTGCTTCTCATTTATTCCATTGATATTTGCTATCTTATCATTTAAACGAAATAAGGTTAGTATTGCATGCCTGAAGAAGATTGATCTCTAACAACACACAAACATCATTGTGAAGCAAGAATCATAAAAATATTAAGATAAGATATTCGAATTATTTTATGCTTTGTTAAAGTAATTCATTTTCATATTTATTCATGCAGTGATAGTAAAATCGTAATTTTTTATTGTAAACCTTGAGCTTGCGCATCCATGTAACGCAGATGATTGCTCAAAGGCTTATGAATTTTTGTATCATTATTTTCAGACAAATTTATTGCGTAATCATTACTATGGGCAGTTTATTATGGGAATTTTACCGTGTGCAATAGGAGTTGGTGGACAATTACCAGAACTTATCGACTATTTGCGTGACATGAGAAATAGTCAAACACCGACATTTCGTGGAACTTTTCCTATGGTTATTATTTGGTATATTTTTTTCTTGATCGCTTTGCAGATTCATATTTTTGCCATGTATTTCTCTTATCATTTAATGACAGCTTGGCAACCATCGAAAAAAGAATGATTTTTGATTAGGTATTTTATTTCTTTTAATTGCTCTACAAGGTATATGTTTGCTTGAGTGGGTTGACTCTGAGTTTTTTTAACGTTTCTTGCCAGTTATTTATGGCGATTATTTTCCAAAATTAGATATACCATAAATATATGTGCTGTATTTGTCACTTAAAATTTCATCCAATTATCGAATAATTTTTTTTCTCGATATATTGCATTACTAAGGATGAAATTTGAGGAGCAGTTTAAGGAAATAATTTATTAGACTGTCATTGGAAAGTTAGTGAAAACAGCTGAATATAACTTTGAGCGATAGCTTGAAAACGAATCAATAATTTGTAATCCTAAAAACTAGGTTTTTTATTTAATCACAATTGGTTTACTATTGAGTTATTTGTCAACCGAAGTAGTTAGATCAAGCTTTAGTCTCTGTAGTCCTGAGGTGCAAAATTAGGTAGGAATTCCTCATCAAAACAATTTGCTGTCTTTTTCTATTGGTAAGAGTGTTAATTTGTTCCTAGTTCTGCGTAATTTTTTGATGAAGATTTGACTTATTTTTTTTGTGACTAATAACCATCTGTTCTCTCTGGTGACGGCAGACTCACTAATTTTTAGCTCCAATTTTAATCCATTTAAAAAATTATTCTCGTTATCAGTTAATAAGTTTTTCTAATTACGCAAGCTTTGTTTTTCGTAAGGTTTGAGGAAAGCAGATATTTTATTTCTCGTAGGTTTTGGTAAAATATACAATTTTGGCGTTGATATAGCAGTACAATGAGTTATCTTCCATTTAGCTTTAGAATGTCTTACATATATACATACATAGAAACGATTAATTGCTTAAATCCGATTTACTCTTTATTCCTCCATACGCTTAAACTACTTTAGAAACCTATCATAGTCAGTATTATTCAGTAAATCTGTGGGAATCTGAGAAGTTTTGAGTGATACAAATTATATTCATCAGATTATGTTACACATTTTGTTATGCTTTAATCTTGATATTGTCCAGTATTGTTTTATTCTAATCTTAATACTGTTATATGCAACATATATGCGTAATGTGATATAAACCTTCGGGTTAGCGCGAAAATTATTTTCAGATAGTTCTGTAATGAAAAATACAAATCCATCATTTCCCCTGATGCATAAATGAAACACATTTGGAAATAGCACTTTTGCTTAATTCGGAAGAAATAATGCTCAACTTATCATATTCCAGCATAAAGAAAAGAGAATCCAAATCAATTCTCGATGGATTCGGGCTGGAAACATTTCAATTTCCTCTTTTCTACATAATCCATATCGTTCTTGAGAGTTACAGAAAGGTAATTTATTGGCGGCTTATTGCGGAAGTTAGACTACAAGCGTCTTTAAAAACCAACCTGATTAAAATTGGAAGAGCGAAGCAATTTGGTAACGTGGCTAGCTAAGTTGTCGAGATTTCAAATCAATTACTTCAAATGAGTAGCAATGAAATATTGAGGTCTTTTGCTTTGCGTAGATCAAAGATCAATATTTGTTTGGCCAAATATAACTTGATCTAACAAGTGATACAAGAATAAAGGTAAGGTTTTTTTTTTCTTACGGGTTTTGTTTCCAAAGTTAAAAACTGATCTTCTGTGGTTTGCAACGAAGTTTTGAAAGATTTATAAGAGAGTAGCCTCCGGACAAGTTCCGATATTTTTAATTTCTAAAAAA